TACATACATAAACACTCACGCCTGTCACCCAGAGGGGTAGGCAGAGACTACAGATTTCCATTTGGCACGATCCTGACACACCTCTCTCGCCTCCTCCACATCCATACACCTACGCATACATGCTCGTCGGTTAAGGGTACTCCTAATTTGGCCCGTTTCCAATAAATCGCCAATTTGGTCGATAAATTTTCGCCTAGGACGTCCCTTTCCGACTCTGCCATTCACTTCTGCAACATAAATTTTCTTTGTCACTCTTTCCTCATTCATTCTTTCCACATGACCAAACCACCGAAGCATTCCTTTCTTAATCCTGGTCACAACATCATCTTGCAAACCACACTATTCTCTTATTACACAATTTCTTACCCTGTCATTCAGATTCAGCCCTAACATACTCCTTAACGACCGCATTTCTACTGCGTTTATTCTACTCTCGTGCTTCTTCTGCCACACCCAACTTTCACTACCATACGTTAAAGTAGGAACCAACACAGCATTGTTAATTGCCATACGTGCCTTTTTCGACACATTTTGACTCTTCACAATAGAGTGCAAGGCCCCATTTACTCTATTTCCCGCATTTTTAAATATTTTTAAATAATTATTGGAGCAATTTAGATTCGTAATAAAATAAATTAACAATTAATTTTTAATTAAATTGTATAATATCCATTCAGATCACCCGTCTAAAAAGATGCTCTGTTTCTTTCTACTTTCAATTTTACAATCATGACGGAAAAAAAATATTTGCGTAAAACTTACTTATTCCAGACTTCTAATCACAGTTAATCTTAAAAAGTGCGACAATTGAATTAGGGATAAAATATAGTATTTTTCGTACTAAATTATTTTTCTATAATACATAGTATGTTTTACTGATATATAGTACAAATATTATGTACTATAACATGGGTAGCAACCCCAGCTGTAGCCCTCTTTTTGCTTGAAGTTGGTTGTAGATGTCCAAGTCCATGGGAATCCACCACTTACCATCAGGTGGACTGTTAGTTCGTTTGTTGCTACATGTATGTAAAAGAATTATCTAAAATTTGCTACAAAGTTACAGCCTATATAAGTCCCACTCGTTTTTGAATAGAGGCCTGTAAATTAATAAAAGAATATTAGTGAAATAAAAGTTTAAATACACAGGTACTACGGAAGGCTAGTGACACACATTCTCTTTTCTGTAACGGGTAAACCGAAACCGAAAACCCAAAAATCTTGTTTTAGTTATAGAGGTCAGTAATGCCGCGTATAAATAATACGAGCCAGTTGTGTCGGTCATGGCCGCGCGGTCGTTCACCTCTATCCAACATGGCCGCATTGTATGAAATTCAACGGGAACATTTTTTCGGTCGTTAATTTATTAAAAAGTTGCTAATAATCGTTAATTCTTACAATAAAATGTTATTTATCTTAATTTTATTTTCGCTTTCTTTTATGCTACCTTTGTATTCTTTTTCTGTCTTTATTTTCGTACGGACAGTCTTTAAAAAAATATTTACTATACTACTATAAGTATATCTAATATGTAAAAACTATTGTTTGTTCGTATTTCATGCGCCGCCATTGATTTAATAACTCAATGTGCGCTGCCCACGGAGCAAAGCTGCCATACCGTTCATCAGACTGCGGTAAAACATTGTCAATATACCTACCTACTTATTACTTGCACTTCCACGAAGGTTATATTCATAGTTTAACCCGATAGGTGGCGCTGTTGTAAATCCAGATATCACCCTTGCGAAACCGGGACAGATCTCTACGTAGGAATAAATAAAATTAAAGTGTCTCTCAGTAACATCGAAATAATTGCCTTTTGCCTTTTATTTTATTTGCATGCGATTAAGACATGATAGCCATTTGTAAAAATTTTGTATGTCTATCTAGTTATGTAGGCTAATCTTCCCAATGACTGAACATTGAAGTACGAAGGTTAATACATATTACTTCAATGTGACTGACTGATGCTGAATCATTTGTGATAAATCAGGAATGCTATATTTTATGCAAAAAAAACATGGAGATTTTTTTTTAAATTTTAAAATTGATAAAAGAAATGGTTATTGAAGTATAATTTAAAGAAAAAGTTATGTGCGCCACGTTAATTGATCCTACCCGGGCGAAGCTATCGTAGGAAATCGCCTTCTTGATATTTAACTATTTGTACCTTTAAATAGCTAAAGATATTATACAGCTTAAAATAACAATTTGATATTTAGGTAGCAATTTTCAAGTAGACTCTTGACCACAAACCATATTGGCATATTGCCACATTATAAAATGGTCGATATCACTATCACACATACTTACTACACTAAGTAACAAAATATTTATGCAAATAAAATCAAATTTTTATTGTTTTCAAACATATTTTTTTTTAAATACACAATGATTGAAACAGTGTTGTCAGGTAATATTGCCACAAATAATTTTATATTGACTGCGGTTATTCATAAAACAATGGAGAAGTCTTTATTTGAATATTAAAGGCAAACTTTTACGTTATATCGATGATTAATTTTGTAAGTATCTTTATTCCTTTACAAACCACAAGCGTGGTTTGTAAAGGAATAAAGGTTTACCATTTTCTGTATGACTCACATAATTAAAATTTTAAAAGGTAGTTAGGTTTTCGCACATGCTTTTATACAATATAATGTTCCCGTACGATATGATACGTCATCTTTGTGTACATCTTCTGCCGTGGTTGCTTACCTAGGCGCTAAGATATATGCGCAACGGGATAACCGTTGCGCATATAATTTAAATTTCATATTATTGGTATGAGTGAAACATACGCTGAAGTAATTTATCGAACAGTGCCACTAAGCTACCGTTCAAAAACTGGTTTACATTTAAAAGAAAAGCTTAGACAACACAATTAATAGGAGATTCTATTAAAATATGAGCGATTGTGAACATAAACATACTCTTCGTTACTTTGTTATTCTGAGTTACCCCGTTGGTCTAGTGATGGCTGATCTTTAAGTTCCGGGTCCGAAATCCCGGTTGGGCCAAAACCAGTCATTGGGTTTTTGTGTCAAAAAATTCTCAGTAGCAGCCCGGAGTCCCGAATTATGCCACTCCCGTGCTTCTGAAAGCACGTAAAGCCGTTGGTCCTGCGCCTGATCTCTCACCGATCGTTGCCGTTTTTCACCCATCGTACTATGAGAGTGACGGAATAGAGAGTGCACCTGAGCTTGCGTATACTCGTGCATCATAATCCTGTCCTATGTAAATAGCTAGTCTCCGTAGAGAAGACACTTCATCAGGTGGACTGTGTGCTCGTTTGTCGCTCTACTCTATACAAAAAAGACATTATTGTTGTTATACTGATTTGGTCACTTTAAAAAATAAATAATACATTGAAGAAATACTGGCTCTCAATTTAATATTCGATTAAAAATGATGGATGCAATATTAGCTGTTTACGTGATTTTGATATCTTTCTTGCCTTTCCATGTGCCCCATCATTATAAGCTAGTCAATCTACATTTATAACGGTCCGTTCGCTTTACGTCTTAATGATTAGTTAACGGATTTTCCACACACTGCCGATTTCGGTCTTGGATCTTTACTTAAATCAGTTTTTAGGGGCGTTTTTTTAAAACAGTAATTTAACTTTTTCATATGATACTTGAGAGTTCCGTTGATGCAGCGTAAAATGGCTGCAGCACGAATGTGGAAGGAAACATTCTTCTAAATACCATCAGGTAGACTATATTATAATCTTTTGCCAACTTTAATAAATTTGAAATTTTACTTGTAATACTCTTATTTTCTGCTATGATTATATATAAAAGTATTACTATTTTTTATGATGAATGCATATGAAAAGCATTAATTTGACACCTTATAAAAATTAAAGATTCGCCGGTATAAGTACCTGATACCTGCGCAACATAAGATGGGATTCGAATCTTAGCCGGGATAAAAGTTTTGTGAAAAAACGCAAATATTTTTGTTTTCAGATCTGCAGTGTGATTAAGTAATTCTGGTGAGCATCGTGATTATTTGCGTTATGACATTTGACGTTTAGTTTAGCTATATTTTGTAAACGTATTAGTGTTGATTATAAGCCGGTGTGTGTCTCGCGTCGCGTGTATCTATCTATCTGTCTATCTATGTAACGGAATCTTTTAAGAGGATTGTGAAGCTGTAAATTTTCATACAAAAAGCGATAGCTTTTTCCTCGCGTAAACATAGTTTAATTTTCATAATTTTTGGAAATATTGTAAATGTAACGAAAAACTAGGTCTGTACGTTTTTATTTTTAGAAAATGTTGCATACGATATAAGCATCTAAAGATCTATATTTTTGACTTAAAAACTTCTTCGAGTATTTTATTTTTTAAAATTAAACTTAAATCAATTAAAAACACGTGCAGACCTAAATTAAACTATACTGAATATAATGAGACCAAATTGTCTCATTTCGTAAGAGTTTAGGGGGGTAAAAGGGTTTTCGCTCGAAATAGTATTCTAAAAAGAAAATATAGGCAATTGCTTCCAACATTTGCAACTCTCTCTATCGCACGACGGCAATAAGGAGCGAGCGATGTGAAACAGATAGCATTTTTGAAAATACCTCCTTGCGCCACGTATCTGCACTTCACAATCCTTTTAATGCAATTTTCTCCAACTAGTAGACGGTCGACTGATTAAAAATTTGCACTTGTATTAAGGGCTGATGACAGTATAATAATTTAATAACTTTATTCTAGTACCCGAAAGAGAATCATCAAGATAATTTTCTCTAGAATCATCACGGCTCATGATGAATTTTTAAGGTTTCTTTAATTTTAATATGATTATTATATTAATATATTATTTGATGTATTCTTGTGTGTTTCACCCATGCAGTTGTTATGTTGTTTGAAAATTGGAAGAGTATACCGTCATTATAATAAAGACTTATTTTAGTACAAATAATCTCTATTCCACTTCATCTCAATATTGTCTTTAAAAATCTAATATTGTTTCTTTTTACTTTCCAGGTAGCATTTTCATCGTTCACGATGACGCGGCGTAGAAGTGTGTGTAAAAAATGGACATTAGTTTTAGTTTTATGTACTTTGTGCGCAACAGTTTATACGCGGCCTCAAGATGATATATTAGCTGTCGTAAGCTCAACTCTAACTAATGCTACAGACAGAACAACAGAGAATTCAATAAGGTATAGATTTAGGAATAATTTTACATTAAGCAAATTTGTATCACCTGTAGCTCTAAGTTTTGCAAACAAATCATACTTAAGTATTACAAATAATCCCACAAATTCAAAAAATATTTTAAAGGAAAATTTGAATAGACGTAATTCATATTTAACAAATAATCTTAAAACATTAGTTTCAAATATTAAAGCAAATACAACAAAAAGATCAAGCCGTGTATTTCAAGATGTTTCGAACCCATTTAAACATGAAGGTAATTATGAAAGTAATTTCAGTAATAGAGCTTATCAATCGCTTCCAAAATTACAATTAGGTGAAAAAATTCAAATAACTAGTAATAAATTATTTAGTGAAAAAAATAAACCAATTATTAGGAAAGTTGTGACAAAATGGACAGATGAAACTAAATACGAGGATTTAGATTTTAGTACTGAAAACATTGATTTAGGAAACAATAAAATTAATGACAAGTCTGGCGATGTTAAGCAGTATAATAGTAACGAGGATATTAGTAACGAGTCAAGTGTTTTATCAAAGGATGATCATCCAAAACTAACGAAGAAAGTATACTACAAACCAAGACCACAATATACTGGTGAATTCCCAGCTTATCCTAACAATAATTATCCTTATTATCCAACTAGACCTACATTAGTGTTTGCAACACCAACGCCAACTCCTATTATAACAAACGTGGGTTATCCTCCACCTTGGCCTCATCAAAATTTTCAAGTCTTTCCAGTAACGACAACGCAAAGACCAACTAAAGTGACACGTCCTGTAAAAGATCATCATAACCATTATAATGCGGTTCATAATAATTATCCTCAATACCCAGTCCATAATTATGAGGTCACAACTTTCGAGCCAACTTCACCGTACACGGACAGAATTGTAATAAGACCGGAAGAATACAGTGCTTCATCAGACGACTGTCCTACCATATACCTAACACTAAATAATACTTTTCAAGGTCAAGCTAAAGAAGCATGTCCTGATCTAAATATTGCTGTCAACACGAACGTCGTTAATAAAAACGTTGTAGTAGAATCTGAAGAAGATACTGATAATTCGTTAGTTAATATTTTTGGTATACCGTTAATGGACGACTCACAATCAGGAGAAAGTGCAAATGATGACAATGAATCAGCTGATAATGAAGAAGAATCTGAAAGCACATCTTTTGAAAATTCTAATAAATTAACAAACTATAACGCTAATACAGATCCGGAATCAGAAGAACCGGGAAGCTTTGCATCCCCTAGCTCAGCGTTGTCGACAATTTCAAGACCGGGAAGACCGGGAAGACCGGGAAGACCGGGAAGACCTGGACGTCCAAATGATAAAGACGATGACGAACTTAGTTTTTCTTCATTCATAGACTTCTTTAAACCGGCGTTAAATGCTTTTAATTGGTTAGCAGCAATCAATCCTTTAAGTTTCGGAATTATTTCTTTTATTTTGACACCTATAGCAATTCTTTTTGCGGGAACTTCGGGGATAGCTGCTTTGTTCGCTCCATTTGCACTAAGCTATGCTAGAGAAGCTCCTGAAGAAGTTCAATTTCAGCAACCACAGTGGTTCTTGGAAAGTGATCATAAAACTTCGTACGCTCCTTTAACTGCTAATACAAACTCGATGCCAAGTTTGCATGAAACCGGTAAATTTTTCAGTAGAAATGATAAAGCTTCCATTAGACCGACTTTGTTTTATAGATTTAAAGAGTGGATGAAGAACTTAACACAGACACTCAGAAATAATAAGAGAAGTTTTAGTTTAAATAATCGTAAAAATAAACGAAGGAAACGTTGATAAGAATCCTAAGGTGTTAATATATATTTGGTCTCAACCAGCGTTTGACTATATTACCAAGTCCTAAATATCTTTATAACGGTAGTAGGGCTTATTGTTACCTTATTACCTAACAATAAAAGAATGTTTCATTTTATAGCAAATATAAAAAATAACGTTATGGAGTTAAAGGAATCGAAAATAAATAAATCACACAGCATCGGTATACCTCGCGCTGGCATCTACGATATAGTTCGTTGCAATTTTTAAGTTCATTTAACACGTGTCCGTTGTCGTTGCAATCGTTTAGCACGAAATGTCAAATTGCAATGGTATTATAATTTCAACGAACTATTTGTAAAACATGAAAATTGCTGAAGGTAACTCCGTTGTCCGTTGCACCCTATGTGAGTCTTGTGACATACAGCGTTTCCGGCAGTATGTATTATTGCTTAGATTTACCGTTAACACCTTAACTGATTAACGTTAAATCATATAACGTTATGAGTAGTTAAAACGCTACGCTTTCTTTGGCATTGGATACGTTACCAACATTTTACCGGTGTTTCAAGCTCTGGTATTCGATTGTACGTAATTTGGAAATATATTTACCATATATTATACAAATCTTTTCAGCTTCTGTAGTAGGCCCATTTCTAATAATATGATTTTAAGGTTAGGAAGAAATTTACATTATTACACGCGCATTCCTGCAAATTTCGTACACTACTGCGAATAGCATTGATAAAGAGGTCAACTGAGATTTGAGAGACATCATATTTGAGATTTGAGAGATTAATATATATCTAGTATTTAAGGTGCCAAGCATCTTATTCCTCTGGTGTTATATCGACGTTATAGCTTGAATCTTACGACATATTTGCCCACCATTACATACAGTAGTATAGAAATTGAAACATTTATCTAACTTCAGACAAAGCGGGATACACTTGCGTGAGAAGATATCTGAGATATAGGAGGAATAGCACAATATACATTATACCTATAAATAAATCAAACAACGATAAGAAAAAAGTCCCTGATGGACTCTTGATATAAAGAAAGAGTTTTACCAAATAGTATTTCGTAAGATTTGTACTTTAAGATACATTTAGGATTCTGAAATACTGAGTTCTAAAATTAAAAGTCAAAAATAAATAATTACCCATTTACTGTAAGAAAGCTAATAACGTGGAAACCTGCATGTCTGGGAAACAAAGTATTTGGAGGATATATGAAGTCCTTAAACACGCAGAACGTCGGTCTTACTGTTCCCTAACCCTATTATAAATTAAATCAGGTCTGTGCATATGGATAAAGATGGAATAAACATAATCTGCTACAAGTTTTTCTTTCTGGACTTACGAACAATCAGCTCCGTTAGAAGTCAAAATTTGCCTTGTCTCTGAATAAAAACGATGATGTAATAAACAAGTTACAACCCAGGAATATTTTGCATGTAATGACTTTTGTGATAAAAGAAGGTGTAAACAATAACGAACTTTTGTTGAAAATGATAAAGCGGCGGAGACAACAAAATTTAAAAGAGAAACTTTATCGTCAAGACAAGTGAACAAAAATGGAAGAGTTTCATGGCACTTTAGCTCACTTCATTCAAGATTTAAATAAAATTCCTGAAGTGATTTCAGATTTAAATGAAGTGATTGAAAATAATACATATATACTAAAATAAACAACCAATTAAGTTATTACCTTAGAAGCTAGAACATGAATAGACACGATAGTAAACGGCTGACAGACGTGATTATACAAACACATACATACATTGAAAAAAAAAACACAAAAAATATAATAATATTTTTATTTATAAAACAAAAATATAGAAGACGTACTAAAAAGGAAAAACTAAAACTATTCATAAAGTTTTAACCTTTTTATTATACCGGCAATGTACCTGCGATTACCCTGGAGTTGTAGTTGTTCATTGGTGATGATAGTCACTTTACCTTCAGATGAGCTGCTGCTTATTCTCTTTTTTGATTAAGTTTAGTAGGAGCGCTGGCTACGTTATCTCGCTGAATAATGATGCGTCATTACTATATGATCGTATATAACAACTATGTGTAAAGTAATCATACATTAATTAACTTCAGTGAATTCTTAGAACCATTTTGATAGGCAAAAACTAAGCTAATAACTTTCTTTATTTTGCGAAAAAGCGAAATTAATCATACGCAAGTCTAATCTATGAAAGCATGGAGAAATAACGGGTGGGAAGCGGAACAAATGTTGCGTCGTATGAATTGTTAAAATAAATACCTCTTTTGTATTATAACTAGAATACATATTAAAAAATTTAAGGTTAAATCGAAACGTTATGTAACTATAATATTATAGCCTAAGCCGTAAGCGTCCATGAAGCACAACTTTTTGTTTTATCTGTAAAAATACCTATTGAGCAGTTTTTTTTAAGAAAGTCACTATTATTAACAAGAGTAATAACGGCGGACAAGAATATAGTATATATATATAACGCCCAATATAACGCCCAAAATAACCCGTAAGCGTCATCAGAGATGAGAGAGGGAAATAAAACAAGACATAGGCCGTATCATATACTGCCTTTGTCTTGTTTCAAAAAAATATTCAAAAAATGCGGTTCCTAACCCGACTTATAGTCATGACAACTTTGGTTTTTTCCCTATGACGTAATCTATGGTTGTGGTCTATGTTCAGCAGTGGACATTTAATAAGCTGTAATCAAAACGATGACTATAAGTTATGTACGTCCATTAATGACACAACTTTTGATATTTGAAAATTGATAAAAACAAACGAATGAAACAATAAAATTACAAATAGATACATTTTTTTATATGATAGGGCAAACGAGCATGCGGCTACCCTGATGGTAAATGATTACCGCGGCCCATAAACAACCGCAACACCAGGGGAATTGCAGATGCGTTGCCGCCCTTTAAAATAGGAGTAGGCTCTTTTCTTGAAGGTACATAAGTCGTATCGGTCCGGAAAAATTTCTGGTGGTAGTCGATTCCACGAGGAAGTTGTGCGAGGAAGAAAACTTCTTTTAAATCACACTGTGGTAGAACGCCAGTCATCCAGATGGTGTGGATGGTATTGCGAGTTTTGTCGCGATGTGCGATGGTGAAATTGTGCGGCTGGAATTAGTTCATATCATTATTATCATCATTACAGCCCTTCACAAGTCCACTGCTGAACATAGGCCTCCCCCAAGTAATGCCACAAAGCACGGTCCTGAGCCACCTGCATCCATCGACTTCCTGCATATCTTACCAGGTCGTCACTCCATCTAGTGGGGGGTCGCCCTACACTACGCCTACCGGTACGAGGCTGCCACTCGAGAACCTTTCTTCCCCATCGGTTATCGGTTCTTCGAGCTATATGGCGGTCACTCTGGTTTTACTGCGGATATCCTCATTTATGAGTCTATCACGCAGAGAAACTCCGAGCATAGCCCTCTCCATAGCTCGCTGAGCGACCTTGAGCGTCCTCATACGGCCAGCAGTGAAGGACCACGTCTCAGATCCGTAAGTCATCACTGGCAACACGCACTGGTTGTACAATTTAGTTTTTAGAGATTGAGGTATAGTAGTATATTAGTTCATATAATCACTTCTAATATTGCAATGCTAAATGACTCAGCATCTCACCTAGCAAATGCGTCACTGTATAATCACTAAGAACAAACGTCATGCAGGGAAATTCACAGATACGTAATCATGCCTTCGGTATAAGTAAAGTTACAACCATAATACGTCCCACTGCCGGACACAGGCCTCCCCTCATTTCTGAGAGGGTTTTAGGGCAAGGAAGTGTCCGCAGCGCTGCCCCAATGCGTGTTGGCGAAATGCACATGCTTTCGAAATAATTTTTTCTTAGTCTTCACACATGCAGGTTTCCTCACGATGATTTCCTTCACCGCCGAGCACGTGGTAAATCAGCACTTAAAATTTCAATTAACAATTTCATTGGTGCCGGCGTGGATCGACCCGGGTTACTCGCGTTCTGTTATGCGTTGACCAATCTGAGCTACCATGGCTCTTCGGTATAAGAAATGTCTTATAGCCTGTGACTATGCTAGCTTCTTCATCCTATAAACCAGAGCACAACTGTTCAGCGATGGAAATAGGTAGGAAAAAATTACATTAATGGAAAAGTAAAAACCGAATTTGTCGAACTAAAAAGTATAAAATAATTTCATATCCTGATGTTGGTACTAAGTTGGAGTATATAGAAAATTAAACCTCTTAAGAGTTATTTTAAAAGGAATATAACAATCTCAACGTCGCCTAAATATCATCCTCTATTTTGCTATCCGTAGGGGTGAAATTTTTTCGTCAGATTTATATGGGACCATCCTTCAAGTATAAATTATGTATAATAAAAAAAGAATAATTAAAATCCGTCATCGATTGGTATATTATATATTGGTGATATAGTATATATATCAAAAAATCTGACTGTGTCCGGCTTTATCCGGACGCCTGGCAACGCTAAACGTGAGTTATAGGTCACCAGGCTATCTTAATAACCGTTAACCATTATAGATTTTAAAGTAAAAATAGATAAATATAGAAATAATAACATACAAGAGACTCATTGACATGTCTTTCAAAGCGATAATCAGGACTCTTTGATTACTTTCACATCGATATATATTCGCTTACATGCTCTTTGGTCCAATTTGGTCGATAAACTTTCGTCTAGGGTTGCCCCTTGTCGACGCTGCCACTCACTTCTGTGGCATAAATTTTCTTTATCACTTTTTCTGCGTTCTTTGAGCCTACGTGACTAACAACCGAAGTATTATTTTCTCAGACAGTCACAACATCTTGCAAACCACACTTTTTATTTATCACAAATTTTTATACCCTATGTGATGATTTCTTATACTTACGCGAACACTTCATATTAAATAAAAATTTTAACCGAAAAATAAGATAAAAAGCTACCAAAAAAATAAATTAAAAAAAACACCGAGACGTAAATCACCTCAGTCCCTATCACCATGTGTGCTGCAAGCCATCCAAATTGTCGGGAATTAAAAATAAGTAAAATTAAACGCGAGAAAGTTTTATTCTCACCCTATAATTCAGTACTCCTACTAATAATACTAAAATAATAATATTTAAAAAAATTTAGTTGCATACATACTTATACATTGACAAACATCTATACCCGAAATAATCGTTTGTAGGTCGTAATTTTTGTCCTGCTCGTATACCTACCGAGCTGTCAAGAACAGATCGGCATTTTTGAAACTTCCCTTCCATAAAAGCTAAATTAATCAGATGATAAAATGCAATAAAGTTGTTTATGAATTCTTAACCCATGGTGATGTCGGACTTATAACAAACAAAGAATGTATGAAATTTTATTGCTGATATGTGGTCCGAATAATGCGCTACTCTTTGGACTCTGCCTACCTCCTCGGGTATTACACTGTTACAGGCGTGACGGTGTTTGTACTTTCTTAAGTAGCGTCAACTGTTTATAAAAGAATATGATAGGCGTACTTCAGACTCCTAGTTTTCTGGTATAGTGAGTGTACAACCAGAGTGGATTTTACTGGTAACGAGGCATTGCACTTTAGTCCACAGGGGGACAACACAGGATAAATAAAGGTTTCTAAAGACCACAGCATCGACTTACCAACATGGACTGTGTGCACGTTTGTCAACCTTTTCTACGAAACAAATCAATAATGAATGCACAGTATAATTCATTAAAAAATGCCTACCATTAAATAATAAAAAAGGACTTTCCGGTAACTCGTAAAAAATGCCGTGCCCATGTGGCACTAAATCCACCGTTTGTACCGTTAGTACAAAAAGTCTAAATAATAAAATAATAGCTTTGTTTTGCTGCTTTTCTTTAAATAAAGATGACACTATAGATTTCTCGGTAAAACTAGAGCGAAAACAAAGTATCATTTCGTTCGCATGGAGGTCGGACAATAACATCATTTAAAAAAATCAGAGTCCATGTTTGCCTTTATAATAAAGCCTTTATATGCTATCAAAACGTGAAAGTTTTGGACGCACGATACTCTCAAACAAACAAAATATAGCTAACCGTGCTAAAACCGTATCGTGCCCAAATGAATGATTTTTCTGTTACGGGCGTGTATGTAATTAAAAAAAAAACATAAAAATTGCAGTTACATGTTTAAAATAGTTCATTTGTTTTACTTTTATATTTAGTTGGGTAATAAATTTACTGTTGGATCACTTTATATGATAGTTGAAAAATCAGAAGGAAAAATGCACAATTTTACTTTGTTCATGAAAGGTACTTGAACCGTTTATGTATTTAAAGTTTAAACACAAATAAGTAATGTAAGTATTTTTTAGGCAACAATAACTTTATTAATAAGAAGTATTTCCACATTCAGTATTATTTTATTCAATATAATAAGAAAGTTGTAAATATATAAATATGTCTAAGTGATTTTAAACTTAAGAATTATTTATTTTGATGGTATTAATATTTTAATGATTTTTTGTGTTTTATAATTTAGTGTGGCGTGAAATAAATTATTTTTTATATTAATGTTTTTTATTATATTTTTAATATTTAAGTTTTGTGTGTTGTACAGTTCTTAATATAGTGTAATTTACGGAGTCAACGATTGAGTACATTTTGGTTTTCATCCAACTTAGAACAGGCAGAGACCCATCGCCTTAGGAAACAAGACGTGTTTTTAAATTATGTATATTTTTTTAAATTAAAGTGGCTAACAAATTAAAAGTCTACCTGATGGTACGTAGCAACTGTATCCCATCAACACCTGCAGCTAAATTAAACAAAGAAGGCTTCAAAAATGCGGTGTCATCTCTGAGAACTAAGACGTAATATCTCACAAACTAGAAGTAAAGGCTCCTTAACATGCATAATAAGGCATAACAGCATGGCGGAAAAATGGGTAAAATGGGGGGGGGGGGTCCTATCCAGATGATTCGTTGGTGGAAAAGACTCCTATCTAGGTGATAGGTAAGATATTATTATGTATTTTATTGCATAAAAATATATGAGATATGCTATGCGATTCAATAATTCGGGCCATGGCTGGAAAGATATCTATTATGGCTAGTCCCCCTGAGTTCTAAGGGCAAAAATGATGCTTCCATCTACAATTTAACTAATTTGACGGTAACTACAACTGTCAGCAACTACAAAATATCTAACAAAAGGTAAAAACCTAAGTTGCTAAGACATTGTGTATTCAAGAAATTAAGCTACGACTTATGATTAAGCATTTCTTTTACGTGGTAGAGTCAAGCTTTAACTATGTTATGGTTGTAGCATGATCGGATCGGCTCAACCGGGGAAGAACCACGCTCTAACAGAATACGAGCGTAAAATAGCAGCTTAGTACTACTGTGTTTCGTATAGTGAATGTAGAGAACCGTAGACTAGTACTTAGCGGTAACAACGCATCTGCATTTTGATTCTTAATCGAGGATAAATGTACGAATAGATGTATGTGAACCACAAGATTATCTTACCTTCACGTGGACTGTGTGCTCATTTGTCACCCTTATTCTATAAAATAATGATGTCCAGCTCTTGACTGTTACAAGCCATTGAAAAATGTGACACAGTCCAGTTATTATCCTGCTGCGAGACACGTTTCTGGCTATGCAGCGATGTAATTGAAACTTCCAAAAAGTAAGATAAAGGACACCAGCGTGATGTAACAGCGTAATACTCTAAAATAAAGAATAAAAATAATTAATGGTGAGGAAGATTTGTGTTGGAGAGACTTGAAGACTTGTGAGGGATAAACTTAAGTGAGGTACGGTATAAGTAAGAGAAAGGATGACCGGAATGATAATAAATACGTTATGGTGAGATAAGGAGGTACAAATGAAAGGCGACGTAAATGAAAAAAGTATGTCTAGATGTACTAGCGACAAAACTGGTAATTCTGGATGTGTGGATACAGTCATTACAATATTTTTATAGGGAATTAAGTGCTTGTGTGTGCCAGGGTTATGTAGATTTTCTGTGGTTGTGTAATCTATTTTTGGACACTTGTTTGAAAACTTTGAAAGTCGAAAAATGTAGTTTATGAATGATTGTGTTAGCCGTTAAATGCCTCTTGTACACCGCTGATCAAGTCATATTTGCGCCGTTGGCGGGCGAGCTGCAAATGATGGTAACATTAATAGACTCCTGAGAATTAGGTGAACGCTTTCAAGTTGTTATTTTAATGAGTATTGTAAGTACAACCTGTGTTTTATTGTATAATCCTACATTGAAATCAAGTCTCGATAAGTTTCTTGTTATTTCTTTCCAGGATAGAGTTTTTTTTTTCCAAAACAGTGATCTAAGTAAAAATGACATTCAATAACAATTGTTTGTAATATATATTAAAAAATGTATTCCATTTTTCATTAAAAGAAAAGGGAATAAAAGTAAACGCAAATAAGATGAAAGTGATGGATTTTGGAAGAAAAAAAAGTAAAACGACATGAAAAATAATAATAAAAGTGCAGGTCGATATGTGTTTAACAAGTAGGGTAGACAAGACAAGGACATAGAACGAAGAGATAAAATGAATGCAAGTCAAATAGTGAATGGGGCTTTTCATTATATTGTACAGTAAGATAGAATGTGTCAAAATGGCACGTATTATATGGCAGTTTATAATGCTGTGTTAGTCCCGTTGTTGTATGGTAGTGAAAGTTGGGTGTGGCAGAAGAGAATGACAGTAAAATCAGTTCTATAGAAATGCTGTCATTAATAAGTATGTTGGGGGTGATTCGGAATGATAGGTGAGAAATATTGTGATGAGAGAAAAGTATGGTTAGCGAGACGTTGTGACCAGGGTTAAGAAAATAGTGCTTCAGTGGTTTTAACACATAAAGAGGAAAGAGTGACAAAGCAAAGTACTGCAGAAGCCAGTGCCAGAGTCGGCAAAAGACGCCCTAGACGGAAGTTTATTAGACGGCGATTTATTGAAGATGGATACGAAAGAAGCGAGATTATGATAGTCAGTAGTTTTTGCCTACACTTGCGAGTGCGTATATGTGAGAGTTTACATATGTATGTTGAACATATAGAAATAAAATGAAAAAAAAAATATATCATAAGAGGTAACCTGGTAGTGGTAGGATCTGACGACTTCCCATAGGTTTGTTAAATCTTTACAATCCACCTGATGCCTAAATTTGTCCTCGTTTAATAATCTAAATGCAATAAGACGGAAAATAACCAAGACGGAATGCCCAAAAAAAACGAAAGGATCGGGTGACTCACCATACGTAAAACAGCTGCAAAATACTACTCTTCATCCAGTACTATATGGACAGAGATGAAAATGAGTGAGAGTACTATTATACTAAGAATACATCACTTCACACTACTTCAGATTACATCAGATTTTATAAACCACAAATCCTAGCAAAACAAGACCGATTCCTATCAAGCACGTTCGCGAGGCAATTGAAAAAAAATCATTCGAATTTGAATAGGAAAAGAGGGTTGGGTGCTACCATCTGCTTCGGATCCTAAAATTATTAAAATGGATTTCAATTCCAAGTATGCCACTGCAAGACGTCAGGATAAAGTAAGCTCATTCTGCTAAGATTAGACCGAAAATTAATTTACATATAAAAATTATTTATATAAAGGTAGCCCGGGTTAACTGTGACTTCAGGGCGACAAACATCTCAGTTTTCCATGGCGAAGGTCGTTGTAAGGCATTCGGAAGGTTGAGAATAAAAAACAATTCAGTTTTACGCGACAAAACCGTAAAATATGTTTTGTTCAATCATAGTGTTCTTGTAAATATAACATTAAAAAAATATCTCCAGCCTCAAATAGTTCACAAAAAACATAAAACTCTGGCACATCAACTGTGGTAACAGATTACAGGTATTAAAAAGGTAACAGGTATCAAAAGGTTACACGTGATCCCAGATATATGTTACTTCTAGCACTGCGGGTTTAACTTTTTTCCCATTTACCTTAGTCTATACTTACGGCACCTGACAGCTTGTGACGGATTCTGTTAAGCCGCCACGATTTGGAAAATAAAAGTTTACTTATATTTTCCGAATGGTGCGAATATTACTATTTCATTACTCGCAAATTCTCTGGAAATCAAAACTATTTTTTATCAAAATCTTTACTAAAACACCTAGAGTTGTGATTGGTCATGTAAGATGCAACACAAGAAGAAGAAGGTTAACAATTCCAACCGCCTGTCAAGTGTGGTAACTATGCAAAAATAATTCGCCAATGAGCCAATTTACGAGAGAAGTCTATGTGTAGCAGTGACTTTTGATAGGCTGTAATAAAAGAATGAATAAACGGATGATGGATGAGCAAAATACTTGGACCTTAATAAATCATTGGTTCTGTGACTTGGATTATCTGAGCCTGTTCTCAACTTGAGACACTAAATTCGTATCTTGCTTTGATATTATCGAATATAGGTTCATTCTTTTTTGTGAATATAAGATCAATTGAGTACATCAGTACTGGCACTAATAATTAAGGCACTATAATAAACCGTATTAATTTATACATAATCACGGTCTTATAGCATTTATATTACTATAAAGGTAATTTTTTATTTTTATTTTTTTCAGAAATCAAAGCATCGTGGAAAATAAGCCAGTGGAGTCATCTTCGTCGGATGTGGAGCCATTCAGTACAGCGAGAGAAGTAAAGACTAAGACACCAATAATTGGTGATTCAATAAAAACGGTCACAGGCCAACTACTTCACAAAACTTCTAATGAAACGGTTGAAAATCCTGTTGTAATTGACACAAGAATACCCCCGAAACTTAAAAATCAACTAAAGCACCGAATAAAAACAAGAAATGATGATGGCGATGAACTGATAGAAAAATCTCATGCCGGCATAGCAATACCTGTTACAATGGAGGAGTTAGAATCCGAAAATGTCGTTACTAGTGAATCATCGACACCGCATGAAGGTATTTCAACATGGATTCTTTTGAATAATCCAATAAATAAAGAAAGTTCATCTTCAACTACTGAATCCACAAAGATCGAAGAACAGATAAAGAAACAAAAACCAGTTATCTCTAAGAATAAGAATAAACGTCCACAAAATAACAAAGTTGCAAAAAGACCGATCATTGGTAGCACTAATAAATCAGATTTAGTCGCTGGTGGGTCGGCTATAAACGAAAATGTTTATAATAAAATCAAAGACACAGTATTATCAAACGTCCAAAAGAATAAAAACACAGCACAACGTACCACTACTACTAGCACTACTCCTGTGACAACAACAGAAGCACCAACAACAAAGAAAGAAATTGTCACAAAGGTGCCTAGTTCTCCAGTGATTAAAGTTACGTCAAAACCTGTAAAAAAGAAGAACAAGAATAAGTTGAAAGTAAGTACGAGTGCTCCGGATGTTAGTGAGTCAGCTCTTTTACCGATGGAAGCAAAGGAACAAGAGATAGAAATAGAAGTTAGCACACCTGTAACTACAACAATAAAACCAAAACGTACATCTACTAGAAAGAAGAATAAAACGAAGAAAAGGAAAACAACAAAGCCCAAACCTGAAAATACTACAATTGTTTCTACTGAATTGAAAACTGCTAACAAGACGAAGTCATCAAAAAAGCCCAAACCCGCTAAAAATGGGCCAATTTCGACACAGATTTACAACTATTTTTCAAGAGAAGTAATGCCGACTGTTGGTGTAGGTGTTATTGGGCTAGCAAGTTTAGTTGGTATTGCTAGCTATTTCTTATATCCATTTTCAACACCAGTAAGAAGGACATTTGAAGTCGATAAAAAGGATGATATTTACAAACATAACGCTGAAGAATATGCTAGCGAAGGTAACGGTCAAGCGGAGGAAGACATGCTTGGAACAGTTCTTGCAGGTATGCCTGCTCATGCAAAGCACAAAATAAATCCTTATGCTGCTCAAACTACTCATATAAAGAGATATCCTGTGAACAAAGACCAGGATATTAGGTATCGTCGTGTGCAACACTCTCCAAGTTACGAACCTTACTATAAGGTTCATTATGCACAACAAAAAACTGGCATAGCACATGGTGCTGTGTACCCTGAATCATTTAATTACAATCGACATCAATACGAAACCCGACATGCGTACACAACAGAAACCAAATATGATAAAGGACCAGCGTCTTACACACCTTATCCAGCAGTAGAACCAATTTATACAGCTCCGAATACAGGCCTTTCAGGAATCTCATCATATGGTAGCGATACAGCAAATTCTGTAGTATATGGGGTAAAACCGTCAGCTGAGTCAGACTTTAAGCCAGTGTATCCATTTGATGGCCAGTTTTATGGTGAAACAACAAATCATCCAGTCACCTATTCGCAAACATCTATGTATCTAGGATCCAATAATGAATCTGAAGATACTGCGGACGGGTATGAGGAAGATTCAAGTTCAAACTCAAATGGAGGCATAGATGAAAATAAATTTGTTGTAGGTAACGTACCCAAAGAGCTTAATGAAGAATCAGCTACGCCAGCAGTTGTGCCAGAACATGGCCCAAGAAATTTGAGGAAGCGACGAAATTTGCGTAAAAGGAGAAGTATAACTCAATCAATCGAAGAAATTTTGAAAGGTGCAAAAGAAAATAAAGATATTTTTCTGAGCAATGAAATAGACGAAATACCCAATATTCCAGCACAGGGCATGTATGAAATGATATCAGGAGATATGCCGAAAACTTCAGAAGTCAAAAAAGTTTATCCAATCTATGCAGTGTCTATAGATCCGGCTAATCATTCGTCCCTGACAGAAATCCCAACTACTACAGCAAAAAGCGGCGTAATTGAAAGTGTTTCCACTTTACCATTAGACAATAATAAGCAAGAGTTCACAACTACAGAATCGGAAACTCCAAATGAAATAGAAACAACTACGAAAACGTTTAAAGTCTATGAAGTTTTCTCTACAAACAGTCCAACAGAGAATACGGAAAGGAGTAGCCCAGTGATTAATAATGATGCACCAAAATCTGACACTACAACCCAAATTAGAAATATGAACACTGAAACTACTACAGAATTAAAATCAGAGACAACTTCGACTATGCCTCCTTCTCCCTCACCCATAACAGAACCAAAAGCACCAATAACAACTACAACTTCAATACCGAAGCCTACCTATGGGCCTGATGTAATAACTTATCCCCCATTAAATCAAGATGGTGGGTTTTTCGGTTTCCTAAAACGTCTAGTTGAGTTTAAATACAGACTTGGAATGAGTCTTTTACAGACTACATCGGAATCCCTAAATAGGTATTTACGTGGTATGGAAGAGACAGTAAAAAAGATAGCCAGAGCTTCAAATAAATAGAATGTAAATTTATTTTTAAGTGATATAGATACTCAACGATTTAAAGACTTTTTTATTTGCTTAAATTCTGATAGTTATATTTTTTATGAATCAAATTAAATCCAATTGATCTAGGTCAAAAGATTCGTGGATATAATGTATGCAAATGTTATGAACGAAGGAAAGAGACGTGACATTAATTGCGGTTGTTCTACTGACATATCAAATTAAGTAATGGCTTTACTTTCATTTCATGGAAGTAATTGTATTCGAATTTGGTCAACTTGTACCAACATTCCCAAGAGCTGTTATAAAAAAGAAAAATAGAGTTTAAATAGATTTTCTTTTTTTTTATAATCAAGACGGATGTGATTGGCAGTATAATGATAATTTCTTTTTAATAATGATATTATTGACTTGACAATTTATGTTATTAATAGTTTAATTACGCATTATTTAACTTCCTATTTTATTATGGGAATGAATTTACTTTGCATTTAGACCTTAAAACACAGGGATATATTACATAGGTTCTTATTATTATTATAGTTTATAAAAAGTTACTACGTATTTATTATTTTTATATGCTGAGATGAGAATCAAGAGATAGTCTGAAAAATATAAGATAATACCTTGATATATAATATATATTTTCAGAATGTTATCCTCGGTCAATAAATTCTATAATAAAAGTGGTGATTGAGGAAAGCCTACTGAATTTATATTGTGATACAATTACTTATATAATTAAAAAGCAAAAGTTCTTTTATATTCGTGTATTTTCTAGGTATGGTAAGATTTTTAAATTATATTAAAAATCAAATTCACTCAAACTCAATTATCAATCTCAATATCAAATACCAAGAGTGAATATTATAATATTATATTATGTTTTATGTAAATATTATATAGTTTTATGTAAAAATAAATTACATAAAATTTATAATTTGTTTTATTGTTATTTACGTCTTTTAACTATTAATATACAAACTAGCGCTAGACTTCTATCCCATCGGATGGTTAGTGATGATGAAGACAAAGATCAAAAGCCTATTCACTCTTCAACTGGAGACATCAAAATTATGATCGAATAGTAAGGCAGACGCCGATTAATTATTTCACAACTCACATACACAAGTATATACTTACTAATAACTTTAGGAAATTTTGCGAAATATATTTAAAATTTTGATATATTACTAATCGTCGTCTGCTTTTAGTGTTAAACCGACTTCGGAGTACTTTTAACTTTCGTGAACCACTGTAATAATTGTGTAAAAACAATTATTTCATTAAAATAATTGAACAAACGCCCAAAGGCTGCGAGGCCATGCAAATAAAGTTTGTATTTAACAAAAATATATCTGATTGTTACTGTAAGAATAGGCTTTCCTAGTAGACTACTTTATTGTCATTTTTATTTTAACTCCTCTATTTGCCATAATTACCACGCTCGGTATGCAAGTTGGCAACCGATGTTTTTTTTATTTTTTAGTTGTTCTATCTCCTGGTTTGTTTGCCTGTGTCCCTCTTACGACAACCACGGGATGATATGGGGTAGGTAGTGGATATTCATACACCATCACTACACGGTAAAGATTGAATACGATACGATTGAATTAAAAAAATTCATATGTTAAAACTAGAGAAGTACTATTATTTATTCTGTGACTAGAGTTGGTTGTATCTTCCTGATCTGTTCTGTTCACCTATAGAAAGATAGTTTCTTTTATTTAGTCATTCTAAGCTATTGGCCGAATATGCAGGAAAAGAGTACATACTAAGGTACGTGAAGGTAATACGGTCACCTTAAGCTTTGCCACCTTATAAAACCAAAACTAGGAGGAGAATAGAGATAAAAACACAAAGTCGTATACTATAACTAATATATTAAGAAAAAATAACAAACAAGCCTTGGCAATAATTGTAAACACTTCGAAAAATCTACTTAAAAAACTAACTAAGTACATTACTCCATACTAAAATCGACTAAGATATTTACTATAATATCAGCTGTCAAAATGGCATCGGTAAACAGCGCCCTTTTGACCCTTTATTATTTGATTGACGGATGAAGAGCTAACCTATCACAAAGCCATCTACGCAAACAAGGCTGTAATTTTTGAGTTATAAGAAAGTGACCACATTAACCGGATATAATATTAGATACTCTTTTCATTCAAATGTGGCTTGCCTGTTCGCGGTAGGTAAGTTATACCTACTTCCTAATAGGTCTAGTCGCCGTAAGCGCGGTTGCTGATAAATTGATTAAAAATAATAATTTCCGTGACTTTATACGTGGCAGAGCCATGCTGCAGTTATATTAGTAGTATACTTGTAGTATGAATGGGTCGGCTCGACCGGGAAGGACCACGCTCTCACGGAATACCAGTGTAAAATAGCAGCTTAATGCCGCTGTGTTTCGTATGATGAGTGTAGAGAACCGGAGACCCGTTTTAGGCCACACACACACACACATACGGAATCCCGTTTTGCCCGCAAAATTCCGTACGCAAAACTACCGTAGTTGTGTGACGGGTCATTGATTTTAAATGGACTTGCTGCGTTCGGAATCCCAAATCGGAAATCCGGAACGGAGATCTAGAATTGCGGGCCTTACTGGAAACGAGGCATTCCATCTTAGTCCTCACGGGTGACAACGTGCGTAACGTAGTTTAGGATAGATGTAGATGTCTATGGGCCACAGCAACTACTTACGATCAGGTGGACTGTCTGCTCGTTTGTCACCATTATCATATAAAAAAATTTATGATATGCTAAGAGATTTCGTTACTTAATTTCCCTGGCTATTGTTAGAGACTACTCGCTCCGATAGAAGGCAATATCATTCATTAATCACTATAATTAAAGACTATCAAGAGTTCACTCCTGAATATAGGCATCTCCACAGATTGCCTCATAGTATACTTACCACTTCTTATATAAATACCCCATGTCATACCAGAACCATGTCCAGCACGATTTGTTACAGGCTGAATAAGAAAATATAATAAGTTGGAGAAAAACCGAAAATGTGAAAATTAAAATATGCAGCCAGTAAAAAGTAAATCAATCATTATTTTTATGTTAATTTTCACGCCATCTAACGGTGGCTTAAAGAATTTCGTGGTATTTACCTGCAACCGGCACCTGTCTGCACCACTAGCGACTTATTATGGAAACATAAAATTTTTACTATAACAATACAATAACAAATATTTAAACAATGCTCTACTCAGATCTCTCCGTTAGATAAAAATTTACCCTTTACTCTTTTGAGTAAACTTTTGACATGTTAGGTACAAAATTTAATTGTTTAAGGATTGTTATTTGTTATTCATATCATATATTATTATCAACATAGAGTCATTGCACAATATTATCAGTTACCGTCAGTAAAATTTCTTAAATTAAATTTCAAATACCATCACCAACGTAAAATGTAATACTTTTATTATTTTTAAGCAAGTATAAATTTTTTGCTTATAAAAGTTTCACAATTCGAAAATTTTTATGATAAATCACTTTTATGAGAGTATTTTATTTAGTATTATATTGTTAGGCGTGACAATTTTTTGTTAAGATCTATTAATTAAAAATATTGCAAATAAAATTATTGTTAAGAAAAATATTGCTCATACTTTACAGAGCCATCTATATTTGATTAACGTACTTAATATATAACCTATGAAACATTAACGGTAACAGATGGCTGCGATTTGTCAAAGATGGCGTAAGTACACATTTGTACAATTCACAATTTTTATTTACTTTTTATCAGCCATTAATCGATATTTATATTTTATTTTTGGTAAAAACTATTATTCCTTTTAGAATAAACTTCTGAGAATAAAAAATATTGTATTTTATTATATTGAATAAAGATGTACACTAGTTTATAACAGCCAAAACTGAAATTGGTTACTGTTTCTTCTCCTGTTATTTTAAAGATTAGAAACCTCACCAATGTTAGGACAGCTAAATTAGTTTATTGTAATTACTTTCATGGCGTAATATCTTATGGAATTTCGCTATGGGGCAATGCGACTGATATTGAAGTCATATTACCTATTTGTTTTAGAAAACGGAGCCGTACGGGCGATTTATAACTTAAATTGTAAAGAGTCCCTTAGAGAAAAATTTAAAGAAATAAACATAATAGGTATTAACTAAGACATCGCAATGTATTTACGAAAATGTAATGTATGTACATAAAAACATAAATAGCTTTCATAACAATAAATATGTTGGTACTTTAAACACTAGGAACTAACACAAGCTTGTAATACCACTTACTACACTCTACAGAATTAGTAATTCATTTATGGGCAATGTACTTATACGATTTTACAACAAAATCCCAGTAAATGTACAAAATTTGTCATTAAACAAGTTTAAATGTTTTATTAAAGAAAAATTGTACAAAAAGGGAAGGTAGGTATTATAATATCAATGACTACATAAATGAAAATAACCCCTGGGAATGAGGTGATCGCCACCATGCTGGTTCTATAAAAATTCATTCAAAAGCTGTTGTACAAAATAAATTATTGTAAAGTGAAATATGTTCCAAATAAGTCACGCTGGGTTACTTGCTGGTTCTTCCCAGTACAGCGGTTTGTTCCGAACCAGTGGTAAATAAAAGAATGACTTTCAATAAGTATCATTCAATAATCTACTTATATTGAATAAAATCATTCATATCATTTCTTTCGATATAATCATACCAAATATAATTTGTACTGTATTTACTCCAGACATGATTCACCAACAGTGTTTGAGCCACGCCCACGCGGTAGCCTTTGCTGTTGCACGTACGGGTCCGGATCAAACCGAGGTGATAACACGACTTCGCAGAAGACCAGCATGAAGTAGAAGCTTTGCATCTGCATTTCGTCTGGTGAGTGCAGGTGGCCGGGGGCCCAATTACTCCCCCCCCCTTAACATGGTAGCGGAATTAAATATAAAACTACCCCGGGATACCAGCACCCCCGATGACGGAGAATCCTTTGGTGAGCATC